CAGCAGCAGTAGCGCCGCACGACGGTTTCATGTATGACGCCACCGAGAACGGGAACGGGGGCCACGCAGACGGCAGAAAACGTCAGATACCACGCATTTACTATTCCACGGCAGTAAATAGTGGACGAGGTGTTCATCACCGCCCTGAGCATGAACTGCAAAAAATGTGTGCTCTGTGAGGTCCTTCGGGCGAGCTCGAGACCTTGCGGGAAAACGATCGGAGGCGTGTTTTCTGTGTGGCAATTCTTCGCCATCCGTCCCGCAGACGCAGCATGAAGTGGTGCGTGCTGGCTCGTACGCCGCCTCCTTGAAGGGTACCCTGCCTCGCTACCGAGCTTGGGGTCAGGGTTATAGTTAGGGTTGCAAAGGCGGCATGAAGTCAAGGGTGCCCTACCGCGCTACCGAGCGTCGACCCGTCGGTACATGTCACAAGTCTGGCGAGCGAGTACAGAAAAGTGCGGTGCGTGTACAAGGCAGCATAGCAGTGCCAAGGGATAGGACAGGCCTTACAAATACCGGGCCTCTCGGCGCTGTTCAGAGTATGAGACGCTCGAAAACTACATCTGTGTCACGCAATTTCACTTTCGCCGGCCATACTCGAAACGACCGGCCACATTTTGCCCAATAATGCAGGGACCACTGCTGAGGGAAAAGGGAGCCCATACCATACATACGTCCCGACTGTTCTCGTTGGTTTCGTTTTCCCCTGAAGCTAGAGCTACATAGATCTTTACGCTGACCCTCGCCAGCGATACCCTTTCCTCCACCTGCAAACCTGCACCTCGCACTCATTTCGGTCTTCCCTGCATGCCGCTCATGAGACGTGTCTCTTTCGAGTCTAGAGACCAGGAACGTCAACGAGCAAGCGACTTAGACAAGCACCGACATCATCCCCCCCACTATATTTATCTTTCCACAGCTGCGACTATTCACAACAGGCGCCCCGTTTGGGTAGTAAGTGGAGTGAGTCTTCGACCACGGAAGGTATAGGCGTATTAGTACGGGCATTATTAGGTCAGAGGGTGTCGAGAGACCGCAACGGTTGGCGCTTGAAAGACAGCAACAGCAACAGCAACAGCAACAGCAACAACAATAAAAACAACAACAACAACAACAACAACAACAACAACAACAACAACAACCGTTGCTCAGTCATCCTCACCAGAAGATGACGGGAACACCGCCACGGCGGAGTTGTTCCAGAACGAGCAGCCCGAGAGCAGAGGCGAAGAGGCAATCGCGGCCAGAGCCCCTCCGATCCCGTGCCCCTGCCTGAAACCCCTCCCCAAGGCATTCCCGTCTGTGGGGACGCCCCCGGATCCGGCGATGTTTGAGGTAAACTTGCAGTTAACCTTGGGGAAAATTCCGTTAAGAAAACAAACGTCACGCAGAACGCAACCAAATTTCGGTTCCCGTTCAGTTCCGGGCTTGGCAAGATTCAGGTTCGATTTTTGCTAAGGGACTTCAATGGTTTAATGCAGAGAGAGGAAAGGTGTTTGAGAGAGAAAACGCCAAAACGCCAAAACATCTGGAGAACACCAACAAAAGTCCGTAAACATGGTACGCTTCGGCGACAAAAAACAATCTCCACAGCAAAAAATCCGTACAAAAGTTGTGAGAAAAACACCAAAAAAGCCACCAAAGCCGGCAGATTATCGACGTCCCTCCGGGAACTTGTCCTCAAAGACCGGTCTCAACACCACAAACACTGCAGTGAAACCAGTGCATCGCGCGAGCTCGCGCAGCGGTTAGGAGCGGACAGCACAACTGGGGCCTCGTACCCAACGAGCCAACAATTCACATGCAACACCCCCCTTCTCAAGAACATACGGGGATGCACGACCGACCGACCACAGCCCTCCGGCTGAAGCCAACACTCACAAACGTCGGGGGCGGGGTTTCCATTCCGCCATCAGAGGCGGCGGCGGCGGCGGCGGCGGCGGGGGAGCTTCCTCCTCCCCGGGAAAGGAACAGCAGCACCGCTCCGCCGGTAGCCGGGGCCGCGCCACCCCCCCCCTCGGCGGCGTTGCCGGTGAAGTTGCACCCGGTGAACCTGGGAAAGGCGAAGCGGATCGCCGCGGCGCCGCCCTGGCCGGCCCCGCTGTAGACGTTGTTCGTGGCCGCTCCCCTGGCCTCGTTGCCCTCGAACAGGCAATCGTCAAAGGCCGCCCCTCCGCTGTCGTTGTTGTTGTTGTCGTCGTCGCGTGCTGGGGGAGAAGAGGATCCAACCGAACGTTTGTTTTGGAGGGGGGCAGAAGCACCCGTGTGGTATGCAGCACCAGCGAGAGGCACCAGAGAGGAGGAGGAGGAGGAGGAGGACGGGACCAAACGGAGATGTACGCTGTATGGCGTCATGCATAGCACGGTAAAGATCTTCGGTAGAGCTTTCCGCAATTCTCATTGCCTCCCCCCCCCCTCCCCTATGAGCACCATGCGTGCCGAGTTGTATACATTTAGGCATGACACAGCAGTAGGGATCTCCGGCAGAGGCTTCCGCGACTCTGATTGGCCGACCGCCGCCCGCTCTGCCCCTCCCCACACGAGCTAAGCCAACACATGGCTGACAGGCGCCTCCAACGGCAACCAACCAAACGTGGATTATATCGCAACTCTCATCCTGCACAACATCGTCGCCTCCACCAACAAAAATTCGACAATCTTGCACCCCCCCCCCCCCCTCCCCTGCCTCAGCGTCTCGATATCACGACCCCGCGATACCACCAGCCCCCAAGCACCCCTCTCTCCTCCGACACAAACGCCACGAACAGTTACCTGCCACGGCAGCCGTCGCCTGAGGCCCCCGCCCGGTGAGGCTGACCGCGCCTCCCGAGCAGCCGGCGTCGAGAGCCCCCGTCTCGCAGCGGTTTCTCCGCAGAGAAACGCCTGACAGGGTGATGGCCGACCCGGAGACGTGGATTCCGCCGCCTTGACCGGACAAGCAAGAAGGGTCCGACGCCCCGACGTCCTGGCGGCAGCGCGGATGGGAGGGGGGGGTGCTATGTATGGACATCGACAGGTTGGGTGGCGGGAGGATGATAAAAAAACGTTGACCCATTGTTGTGGGGAGGGTTGCGAAAGAGGGCGCTGTGTTCGAAGCTTGACAAGTTGTGGCGAGAAGATGCAAGCAGACCATGCTTCGAAACCTTGCGGTGGGGAAACAGACAGCTCAGCGCTAGCCCGCGGGGAGCGATCACCCTGATGGCACGCTGAGTGGCCTTACGGTGGTCGGGGTGACCGCGAGCGCAAAAGCAAACAACATCATCGAAACCTTTCCTTCCCAGCATCGAGAACCATTAAACTGACGATAAAACCGCGGGAAGCCAAACCCACAAGACAATCAACACACATGCACGACCCTAATTTAGCCCCCAATGACAAAGGAAATGTGTAGTTCCCGATGACAACTATTATTTAATAAACGAAGAACAGCAGCAAGGCAAAAAAAGAACAGCAGCTACATAAAGTCAACGCGGAATGATATATCTCCCGACGCAGACCCCCCCTACCTCTGGCCCAGCCACGTTCCCCTCGAGCACGCAGCCCTCGGACATCGTCAGGCTAGCTGACGCCGACACCGCAACGCCTCCCCCGGCCCCCTTGTGGGTGTAGCTGGACGCAGCGGTGTTGTTGACGAACTTCGTCCTGGCCAGCACCGCCTTCGCACCGTCCTCTACCCAGATCCCTCCGCCGGAGCCCCCCTTTCCCGCCGCGTTTGCGACGAAGCTCGAGTCGCTGGGTGCGGGAAGCCGGGGGAAAGACGAAACAAGTGCGTTAGGGTCGTTTCAAACGCACCAACTCCCTCGAAATCAATATCTCGAAAAATTGCATAACTCCGAAAGTGAACCAACCCGTCGAGATACCCACGCCCTGCCGCTTGATCTAAGAGTATGCTGTTGTTTTGGGCACATGTTATTCGTGAAAATCATGCCGCCGGGTGTGGTACTGTGCGTGTTTGGTGTTATCCTACGGGGGGGGGGGGGGTTATCTTGCGTCGTGTAAAGCATGCATACACTTGCTGGCTGAAGCAGAACTCTTCCATACAGATGAAATCTTGGGCAGCCGGCTGGTCCAAACAAAGCCACAGCAGGCACAAAACACAATCATCGCTAAAATAGACAACTATTTATACTTTCAGCGGGCGAAGAGCGACGCGGGATAAGTAACCGGGGCACTCGCTCAGGCAGACAAGAGAAACAAGGGGAGCCGTCCCCGAATACTGCTCGACGATCAGTGGCAACACAGGTAGGCCAGACAAGGCGTTGCTAACTACTACCTACCATATATGACGTTGATATTGTTCCCCGGACTCATGTATCCGAACATAGACGCACGTTGTTGTTGGAAATGAACTTTTCGTTTTCGTAGGAAAAAAGAGACAACAAAAACACAATCCAAGCCGTGCCAAAGAAAATTCGTGCCTCATGTCCAAGACGTGTGTGGGTCCGCGAGTCGCGAGCCCAGCCCCGAAGGACGCCAGCTGACCAAACAGGTCGATTCCCTCCGCCACGTTGTTCTCGAAACGGCAGCCGCTCACGGTCGCGTCGGAGTCGTCCAGGTATGCCCCGCCACCGATGCCTGCAACGACGCCGACGGTAGGATATAAATGCGGGGGAATTGATACCCGTTCGCCCCAGTGGTGGTTTCAGTTCGGAATCTCACAAAAATTTTAGGCCCTTGGGGCTGTGGGTTCCAACCTCTCCGGGACGGAACATGTCACGATTCGCAGGAGCGTGGTAAGGGCGAAGCCGCGACTATCTGCACGAAAGCGAGAATTGATTCATGTCGCGTTAAAAACACGACAAACAGTAGCATTCCAGCAGAAAAAAAACTTCTGCGTAGCGTCACATTCACATACACCAAACGGTGGATGCTGGCCGTCAGAAGAGATGGGACGGATATCCAACCACATCTACCCACTCCAACCGTATTCGTGAACGGCGCGCTGATGATCGACCTTTACGCCTGAACAACTCCTTGCATCGGCAGTCAGTTTCGTCGACTGTATAGCTCTCGCAGGGATGATAATCTTGGTTTAGTAGTAGGGGGTAAGGGGCAGGGTTGGTGGTCAGGGATAAGGTTTCGGAATCCCCCTCTCAACTCCGTAGATAAACAAAAAAACATCCTCGCGAATTCGGCCGTCCTTCAGGTAAGTCTGGGCACGCGCTCGTTCGCCGACAATCCCCCACTGCATCGGGCAAGCACGCAGCCAAAGCCAGACCAGACAGCGAGTGGGGCCCGCGCCACGTTTCAGTACAGCCTTACGGCGCTCACCAATACTGCAACACCAACGCCATCACCACCAAATGAATACCTGCCGAGGCTTTCGCCATGGCCGTAGCACCGTTGCCCGAGAAGTGGCACCCCCTCGCGGTCACCGAGCAACTCCTGGCCGCGAGCCCCCCCCCCTTGGCGTACTCGTCACGGGCCTGACGTCGGTCACAAGCACACACGCACACACATTCAGAGAATGTCCTGCTGGCATCGACCGCGCTAACCCGCCGGCCAATGAAAAAGACGTCGGTCACAAGCACACACGCACACACATTCAGAGATAGCCCTAGTGGCATCGACCGCGCAAAGCCGCTGGCCAATGAAAAAGACGTCGGTCACAAACACACACGCACACGTGTTCAGAGATAGTCCTACTGGCATCGACCGCGCCAACCCGCTGGCCAATGAAAAGATGTCGGTCACAAACACACACAATTTGAGAGATAGTCCTACTGGCAACATGAGAGTGTTTCTTGAAGTGGCATCGACCGCGCTAACCGGCTGGCCAATGAAAAGACGTCAGCCTGATACTGCTGCAGCGGGATAACAACCGCGAACACGCGTTGTTAGCCGGAGGGTTCTACCGGGGGAGAAGAGTTGGACGACAGTCCTGCTTCTGAGGTACCAGGAGAAGACTCACTCCCAGCGTGTACGTGCTTGTGTGTTCGACCGGGTCGGCTGCTGTTCAAGCGTGACCGGATGGACAACTGTTGTGACGCACCCGCAACAGCATGAGTAGCTCTGAGGAGACTCCTCATACACCGCTTGCGAGTTCTCGGCGAATCAGGTACCCCCCCCCCCCCCCCCCCCCTTCTTCGCCCAACCCATCACCCATTACCTGAAAAACAGCTCCCGGAGGATCAAGAGCACCTTCGCGACACTCTCTTCAGTGCCCTCTACGGTTCGGTGGTGATGTTCGACACCCACGACAACGCCCACGCGTACCAGGTCCGGTGCAAGAAGGTCGGAACGTTCTCCCTCCCGATCCTCGTGGAAGAAGATGGGGCCTCGCTGGTGAGTCGGTAGAGTCACTCTTATTTATTTTATTTTCGTGCAACCGTGTTGCGGGCATTGTAACCGGTCTGCGGTTACTGTAACTAACCGTTTTTCGGTTGTTGTACGTGTTAGCAAACCCATTGTTCATGATCAGCCGAAAACGTGTTATGTTGTACAAGAGTGGCGTCTTCGGGAAGCAAAGCTCTATATATCTGTAGCGTTGATCGGCCCTAACGTGTGGAAGGACCCATGGACAAGAAATTGGAGGGTATGACATGTTCTTCCCCCCCCCCCCCCTCAGAATTCTACCTGTCATGAGATATGTTTTCATTTTCTGTTTGCCACGTTCTTTTCCTGTTTTATCCTTTCCAATTTTATATTTTTTCGGTGCCAAATAATTTTGGTTGTCGGTTTCATGTTTCTTTCGTCTGTGTACTCTGCTTTTTTGTCGGTTTCATTTTTTTTTTTTTTTAGGAGCGGAACGGTTACATGCCTCCCGCCAAGGACCCCGACAGCCTAAACAGGCTCAAGATCGTCTACGGCGCCATGCCGCCTCACCTCACGCCCGAGTATGTGAAGACGGAGCGTTTCGTGAAGCAGCTCAAGGTGAGGGAGGAGTCGTCGGTTCACGCTTCCTTTACAGCCCGTCAGGGCATCTTTTGGCCAAAATGTACTCGTTTTAGTGTAGGTCTTTGCCCTTGACACGCAATATACTAGCTTAAGTTTGTGGGGGGCTTGTCCTAGGGGGCTTGTCCTTGACTCGCCTGTCAAGGGATAAACCTGCGGCAGCTTTGGGGTGAGGAACGAGGATCGTTTTTTCTCGGCCTCTGCATGTGTTTTTAGCAGGTCAGGGGTGACAGTAGTCTTGGTGTGATCGCGGGCATGCATGGCCGCTGTGAGCTGCAGCTCGAACCAAACGAGACGTTACTGGTTGTTGCTGTTAATGCTGCTGCTGCTGCCGCTGCTTTGATTGCTGGAGCGCCTGAGACTGACATCTCCAGTATTACCCAAACGAGGGGGCGATAGAGGGGGTCCCTGTTTAGTGCCGGTTGAATAGTGCCAAAAATGCGTGGTATTGTGCCGGTGTTTTCGGCGGACACAGGTTGAATTTCCAAGTCATTCTCACTACTTTGAATAGTGCCGGTCCCGTATAGTGCCGATTGTACTTTGTGGGCATATACCGGCACTACAAGGGGATCCCCACAGTATTCCCCTGCGAGTGGGCGTGCTGTGACCGCCGGGCCGTTTAGAACGACGGATGAGCACGCATTGTGTTCACCGTGAAGGAGTCCCGCCGGTCTTCTGTGTGCACACGCGACGTTTGTAGTTAATTGCCATTCTCGTTCGCGATCTCGCAACCGTGACGCCACCCCTGTTTGCGCCCATGGTCGCCAACCTTTCAACAGACCGTCAATCTCACACGTCGGTGCTCAAATGGTTCCTACGCTCTGCGCGTACATATCTTGTTTCGTTTCTTGCTGACTTTTTCTTCGCAGCTAACCCTCGCTCTGACGTCGGTCGCGTCATGCGCGCGCGCGCGCGCGTGTTTTTTTTTTTTTTTTGTCGCAGAACCTTATCCCCGCGCTGGAACAAGTGCTCGAGGCGACGGCCGAGGTTTCGGAGGTGGAGAGCGGCAATGACGCAGACCGGTGGCGCCAGGAGATCAACTCTCTCACGAAAGAGCTGGACGACCTCATGTCGCGCGGGACTCCTTCCAAGAGGGGAGGAGGAGCGGGAGGCAGGAGCGCCGGGAAAGTGGCCAGGGCAAACGGCGGTGGCAGCAGCAGCAGCAGCGGCAGCAGCCTGGGCAAGCGCAGCGGCAGCAGCGGTGGAGGGAGGGCCAGCAGCGGCGGCGGTGGGAAGTCGTCCAAGAGGAGGAAGTCTTCGGAGGCGGCGGCGGCGGGGGCGGGGACGGGGGCCGGTGGCCGACCGGTGAAGCGGTCACGCTCCCGCCGATAGATTGTAGGGATGGCGGATGTCGGCTCACGAGCATGTCGCGCCGAAGGGCCGCAGGCGGTCGTTGTCTTGGTTCTACGTACGGGGTTGTCCTAGTTGTCGTTGTTTTGGCTGTACATGCCGAGTGGTCCTAGGGTCGTTGTTTTGGTTCTCACGTACCGAGATCTGATTGGCCGAAGATCCACGGACGGCGGTACGTGGCGTTCGTAGCCGGGGTGGAGACTTCAGGACGTTTGCCCGCAGTTGTCCTTCGGCGTCATTGCCGTTTTGGTTCTGCACTCATACAGAGGTCTGATTGGCCGAAAATCTTTGGTGACGGGGGTCCCTGACGATATCGCCGAGGTCGAGACTTGAGAGAGGATTTTTGCCCGCAGGTTGTTGTCCTAGCGGTCTTGTTGTGTTTGGTTCTGCACACATACCAAAATCTGATTGGCCGAAAATTCTTCGGGACGGCGGTGGGTGACGCTATGGCCTGTAGGGTCGAGACTTGCCCGAAATCGGATTGGCCGAAAGTCCTTGGACGACGGTGCGTGGCGTTGTAGGGGTCGAGACTTTGGCCGATGATTGGTGTGTCTGATGTCGGCTCTTTGACTCTTTCCTGTGCCTGCAAGGAGGAGACGGGAACATCTCTCGGTCGGCTATGCGTTGCTGGCACAATACATACTGGTAAGTGGGGTGCGGGAGGAGGTTCGGTAGCATACGTGGGGTAGCACATTCTTCTTGTCTGGTTGCTTGATGGCCATGATGACGGTGATACGCTGCACAGCGAACATGGCCAAATGATGGAGAGAACCGCTCGTGTACATCTCGCCGCTTGGTTGTTTCTTGCAGGTTCCTCCATTGTGTCGGATGTTGCTGCGTTTGTTTTGCGTATTTTCCCGGGAAGATCCCATGAGTAGGCCAACGTGCCAGGGTCGATGGGGAAGGGCGGGTGTGCATCATGAGAGTAGTACAGGAGAGGATTGTTTTAGGAGAAGGTGGAAAAACACCGGGAAGTCGCTGTCTGAATGCGGGAAGTTCCGATGCATAGGTCGACGGCCAAGGGTCGGTGAGCACCATCGGTAGTATTTGAAAGGGTTGTTCGTTGTTGTGTTCCAGTAGTTTTAGGTGTAAAAGCGCGGGGGGGGTCACGGTTTTGCTTCGAATTTGACATTTTTGTGAATTACGTCGTTACATCGGATTTGAAAGGAATTATTTTCCATGGTGCATAGGTCACGCCACAAGATCCTTACTGTTAACCGGAACCAAAGGAAGTGGCTAACTGTAGTGCGCAGTCGAGAGCGCAAACGCACACATAGTTTTCCGGGTTGGTGTGGGTTGTGTTTTTTTCGGGGTCTGGCAGTTCTTGCTTTCGTTTCCAGCGGTAGATGAACACGTGTGCTACTACCTGTCGTTGTATTTTTTGTGGGATGTGTAAGGCCGTAGTTGTTTGCCAACGTTTGACCGCACGTATTGTTTGATCAAGCGTGCGCACCCAGACTTGTGTAGGACAAGCAACCGTCGAGAGCCCGGAGGGCGGGCAGCAGAAGAAAAGAAAGACATGAACTCGAGGTGTGAATCCTCTTCTCCCAAGGTACAGGCCTTCTTCCTAGGCGCCTTTTCACTACGGAAACTCCGCACTTCGGACGGACACGACACGCTCGCCAAGTGGGCAAGAAGCAACCAAGACCGAAACCCGCACGCGCAGGGGCTGTGATGGACGAAGCTGCTCGAACAAAAAGTCAAAATCATGTTGTTCGTCGTATCTGTTGAGAGAAATGGTACCAAGGCGTCCTACCCACGGGAGATGGAGATGGCATGCAGCGACGGCCGACGCCAGCGTAACCTCTCTCACGGCATCCAAACCTACCCGAAATCACCAATCTGTGATCTGCCCCCCCTTCCCGGGATAAACCGTCGTATCACCATAACCATGGAAGCGAGCGCCCTTACCACCATGTTCGCTAAGCAACACACGGGTCAGAGTGGAAAACCCTCAGCTGCCCAAACTATTTACCACAACTCTCCTCTCTTGTGATGTTCGAAAAAAGTATCGCATCTTCAGCAAGAGCAATTATGGATAGGGCGCCAAGCTCTTGGCGTACATTACGCAAGAGAGAGCGGCTTGGAACTTGAACAACTATGTTTTTGCTGTGGCAAGCAAAGGTCGAAAACTAGTTCACTTTTGCCCGACCCCGCCGCTGCCGCCGTTAAACCTTCGCTCTGCGGCGTCTGCCGCGAGTTTTCGCTTGTGCAGGTTGGCGCAGTCCGTACTGCAGTAACGGAACTCGAAGCGGCTGAACGCCTTCTTCGCTACCAACGCCTTGCCGCACGCGTCGCAGTGCCCCGCGGCCGCCAGACCCCTCTTGCGCCTGTCCTCGGCTTCCGCGTCCTCTTTCTCCTGGGTGGGGGAGACGAGAAGCGACGAAGTTGAGTAGCAAAAAAAAAAATCAGTTGGCATCGAAGGCTGTCCGCGGGGCGACGCAGACGAAGGAACGGAAGGGGGGGCGGGGGGGGGGCGGGGAGGTTGTTGCGGAGGAAGCCACCGCAGTAGGGAAAGTAAAAGCGGCGAGGGGTGGGTGACACCAGCAGCCACGACAGGAGGCCGAAGCGCGTGCCGTTTCGACGGTTTTTTAAGCAGCAACGGACAGGGCGACGGCGGTAGAACGACGCCTCGGCGTCATAAAATAAGTAATTCGTACCATACACACGACGCCACCACCAAAATACACTCGTACTGTCTGAGGCTGGTTTCTTACTTCCTCTGTAGGGTAACCCAACAGTGACTACATATGTTTTAGTGTAGGATTACAAAATTACAAACCTGTGCTTATGGTCGAAGTCCGTAGACTTCTATTTTACTGGAGACGGAATGTCTGAACTCCCAGGTTCTTCAATTGTGGCGCGATCTGTACTATCGTAGATATATTGCGAGCACGCGCACAGAGCAACATTGATCTTCTATTTTCTCACGCTCCTCCAAAGAAAGGCGTACCTTCTTTTGCCGAGCTTCCTCTTCGGCCTTGCTCTTCTCGGCCTTCTTTCGCAGCTTCGCTCGCCGCTTCTTCTCCTTCTCCTTTTCCTTGAGCTTCTCCTTCTTCCGCAGCTCGAGCTCCTGAACCAATCAGCGGCAGCAGCAGCCAGTTCCCCAACATCAGAGTTTTAGGACGCGAAATCGTGGGTTCGCACGCATTGCGATAAAAACTCGTTTTCTCCGCAGCACATAAAAATAGGAAAACCGCGCACCCGCTCAGGTTCCACATTTCGGAGACAAAAGAAGACATCAATTACTTGTTGCACCTGCCTCTTTCCTTTCTGATCAAGATAGAAAAAACAAACACAGAAGTTGCCGGCTTATCAAATACACTACACCTCACCCCCAAGTCCCCGTCTCCACTACTCTTTGGCGTTTCTCTTGTTCCTCACCTCTGTCAACGGCTCCGGCACTCTGGCCGCGTCCCAGTCCCATCTCTCCGGCTGCCCGGCCCGCGCCCGCCGGAACGCATCCCGGGTATCCTTGTTCGGAGCCAGCAGATACGGCACTCTCCCACGCACGTCCTCCGCCAGGGGGCTAGCGCCTCTCTCGAGTAGCACGCCGAGGACGGCCACGTGCCCGCCGGCCGCCGCAACGTGCAGCGGGGTCATGAGCCGCTCGAACCCGTCGGGGTGGTTGAGAATCTCCCCTGCCGTCCAACCGGTTGCCGCCGCTCCCGCTGCCGCGCCGCCGGCACCGCGGGCATCTCCCACTACCGCCGCCGCTGCGGTCAGGTCCAAGCGGTCCAGGAGCGCCGCCGCCGCGTCTACGTCACCTTGCTCGCACGCCTCTAGGAGTTCCACCGAAGGCGGACACGCCTCCTCGTCAAAATTTCGAGCGACCGGCGGGCCCGCCACATCCGCCGTCGCCTTGGCTTGCTTCTTCGCCTGCTTGCTGCTGACGCTATCTCTGCCGCTCCCCTCCGTGTTGCTCGCGGGCCCAGGGTCACCGGCGGGGACAGCCACGGCATCCGAGAACACGATCGACGTTACGCGCGTGTGGACGGCGACGACTTCCTCGAAGACCGGCTTGCCGACGGCGAACGGAACGGGGCGGAGACGGGCGTCTTTCCTGTTGAACGGGGCTTCCTTGCCGTCGAAAAGGACGGCTCGCATTCCCTTCGGGACGGAGGTAAGGACCACGCGGCAGGCCTGGGGAAACGTTCATGTTCGAGGTGGGCGCCGGCATCGTGAGAAATTAGAGTAATGCACGGGAGAGCCATCGAGGGAGCGGGTGTGTGTGTGTGTGTATGTTTTTTTTCTTAATTAGCACCGATCGCGCTCACCGGCTGACCAATGAAAATACGTCAATCTTGTAGCGGGGTAAAAAAACACGAGCAGTGCGTGTTTGACAGGACAGCCATCGGGATTGACGGAGTGGGGCATGGGTCAAACAGTTCTTTGTGTCGCTACCTGGATAGCCGGGCGCACAAAAAAGGCAACACAGTAGTCGCGATGACGGTGGCAAGCTAACAGGGGGCTCGAAACCAACCGCGCTTAGCAGGTATCCTGCTCAAGAAAATTCAAATGCAACACCCACGATCCGCACCTACCTGTTCTCAAACCAGCTATCAGAGGTCTTCAGAGTTCTGGGCGGCAACAAAGGCAGGAGCGCGGCAGTGAAATGGACAAGCAAACAAAGGGAGAGGTACAAAAAAGCTCGGGCGCACCTTGAGCGGACCTTCCCACTCCTTCAAGAGCGCCCTCGCGTCCTCCCGTAGCGCCTGTTCCCCGTACCGCCGAAGCGCTGCCCCGGCAGACTGCGCCTTCCTCCCACCGCTGTCGTAGGAAGACTGAGACCCGCCTCGTTTCGCTCGGATGGTGTACCTACAAGTGTGGCGAAAAGGAGTTAGATGCACCAGCGCGCAGGTATAGAGCGGAGAGGGAAGTGAGGTGGACTTCAAAACTCCTTTTGTAACAGCAGCGGGAACACCGACGCACAGACCGTACGGGTATACAGGAAGTACAAGATGCCGTACCACATGGATCGATTTTCACAGCTGGATTATTCTGTAGCACAAAACAAAGGTGTTAGTATGCCCCCCGTGACCACCCACGGAGGTTGCCGTGCCCGCCCACGGTATGACGTCTGTCTGGGAACTATGTTAAACCCAGGGACCCATGCAGATGATATGAACCTTGATCAATACACATACGTGCTCTTCCAGCACGGACCGAAGTCAGCACAAGTCCTGTTTCAGTGAACACATGCGCGGGTTCTCACGAGGGGCCCCGCACTTGGACCCCCACTAGTATACCCCCCACACGCATACTCTGCAGATCGGATCCTGTATCCAAGTACCCCAAACAGCCCCCCTGCTTGATACAACATACGATCTGGAAGTCTTTTGTGAATAATCTTCCAACCAATACAAAAACAAAAAAACCAAATGGCAATGCCGAAAATGGCAGCGATGGAACCGCCTCGTCGAGAGCTCTTTCATCGTGGAGTAACGCAGCTTGGAGTGCGGTCCAGGTGGGGGGGGGGTATCTAACGCGACACGTCCTTGCTGCCACCGTATATACACTTTTCGCACCTCCGGAAAACCTTGTGGCATACAACAGCCTGCCCTTCGAACACCGCAGCAGCGAACTTGCCGCTCCTGAGGATCACTACGGCCCAAAGACGGTTCTCCCCCTCGGTGCCGACCAGGCTATCCAGGCGCCCCCAAGGGTCGTCCCCACGCTCCATGCCCAGCGCGGCGGAGCTCAAAGAGAAGGCCCACGCGGAGCCCCGCGGCACGAACGTCAACCTCGGCCCCTCCTGGAGCGAAAAGTCTACTTTCACCCTCCCTCTCTCAGGGTAGCCGTTTTCGGCCCCGCCGCCTCCGCCCACGGTGGAGAGAAGCCCGCCGTCGCCTGCGTCCTCCTCTTCCTCCACTCCATCAAGGTCAAGACCCCGTTCGGTGGCGCCAACTGAGCCCGGTCCTTCATCGCTGTCCGTGCCCGATGACGACGATTCCGCTCCAGCTGCTGCCCCCGACCCCGTGTCCCCGTCGCCTGCCGCTGCTGCCGCTGCTTCTGCTGCCGCCGTTTCATCGTCTAGCTGCGCCTGAGAAATGCGAGGCTTGCCGGCCAGCTGCCGGCGCAGGTTGGCCATGTGCAGGGCGGACTTGAAATGCTGCACCTGCGCTGCTCGGTCATCGCCAAACTTGAGCCCGCACCGAATACAGGTGAGCCCCCTCGCAGCGGCAGGGGCGACAGCGCCATCGCTGCGGGCGTCGGTGGAGCCTGTCCTCGACCCTGCCGCCGCCGCCGGTCCCTGACCCACAGAAGGCGGCAAGGCTCCATCTTGCGGCTTGGCGCCTGCGAGCAAGCCAGCCGGGATGTCGAAGATGGACACCACCACGCTGCCGCCCTCCGCCTGGCCTTTGATTCTTCTCCCTGGCCTCTTGTCCCTCGCAGACTTGATGAACGGCGCTAGGAAGGCATCCATCGTGGGGAAGCGCGAGGTTTCTTTCAGAGCAGTGGTACCGTGGTTCGCACTCGACATGCTATGGTGGAGGAGGTAGCGAGAAGGAGACTGGTGCTGGTGGTGTTGCTGGTGCTGTCCTCTCGCTTGAAAAAATGCGGCGCAATTGCAACAGTCACCAGGAATTGCGGAACGGTTCTCAAGTTCCGTAGGTGGGTGTGTGTTTTTTTTTTGACACAACGAATCCATCTCTATCATAGAAAGAGTCGGAGACAGATTAGCAATGAATTCATAGCGTTTTCATTATAGTAGCATCAACCGCGGGTATGTGTGTGCATGTTCGACACAGGTTGAAGCTACATCTACCTCAACAGTCAACAGTCAAAGAATTGCTTCAGATTATGAACGGGGGCTCCGCGCGCTCATGGTCTCATTCATGGTGTACTGTATGAAAAATAAAACTAGAGACCTGGAACTGCGGCAACATGGACCACCTAGACCGAAAACACGGGCACTGGTAACTTCCGATCAGAGTCTCGAACAAAGAGCATATACATCCGTCGATTCTGACTGTGAGCTTGGACTTACCGGGTAAGAGATCCCAAACACAGCAGTAAACAAGATCGTCTGCACGCGTGATTTGTTAACACTGAGACCCCGTCGCGGTGACGGGACACATCAATCAGCTAAAAAAAGGCAACAGGGATCTCCACGAACCACGCCCCACGCCGTCCATCACCAGCAACAGCGCGCCACCACCACACGCCTTCACGACACAGCAGCAGCCGCGCGGCGCCGGATCGTCCCCGAAGAAAATGGTTGTCGGGAAAACAAAACAAAAAACGAGGTGCCGTCATCCAGACTGCACCAGGGAAGCCATATTTGGTATGCCATGCAATAAGCCGGAGTTCTGCGGCCGTCATGTCCAGGATGACCGCATGATTGACAAGAAAAAAAACGCCAGGTGCGGGCACGAAGGTTGCGGCAAAGTGGCGTCGTTCGGCGCGGCGGGTAGCAAGAAACGCGAGTTCTGCGCTCCGCACGCTCCCCGTTCTATGGTCGACCTCGTCAGCGTTACGCGGTGTGTTCACCCGGGTTGCCCCAAGCACCCATCGTACGGCGTGGAAGGCAGCAAAAATGCTCAGTTCTGCTCGGCACACGCGCCTTCGGGGATGGCTAACCTTCGTTCGAAGAGATGCAGCCATCAAGGCTGCACCAAGCAGCCGTCGTTCGGGGCGCCCGGAACGAAGAAGGCAGAGTTCTGCCTCGCTCACGCGTCGCCGACGATGGTCGACGTGTTCAGCAAGCGGTGCGCTCACCCAGGTTGCAACAAGGGTCCGTCCTATGGCAAAGACGGCGACAAGAGAGCGTCGTTCTGCAGCGAACACCGTCTTCCAGGAATGGTGGTCGTCGGTCGTAGAGTATGCAGTCACCAGGGCTGCAGGACAAAACCGTCCTATGCGTCCCCAGGCGCCCAACGGGGTGAGTTCTGCGCGCGGCACGCTTCGAAGGGGATGGTGGACGTTGTCTCCAAAAAATGCGAGCACTCCGGCTGCTTCAAGTACCCATCATTCGCCGCCGAGGGCAGCAAAAAGCCCCAGTTCTGCGCCCAGCACCGACTGGAGGGGATGGTCAACGTGAGCAGGAGGCGGAGGTGTAGGCACCAAGATTGCTACAAGGAACCGTCGTACGGCGAGCCAGGGACCAGACACAGGGTCTTCTGTGCCCGGCACGCTCCGCAGGGGATGGTTTCTATGCATAATCAGAAGAAGGGGAACGGTGTGCGCAAAAGGAGGAGCCCGGCAGAGAATGACACAGTAAAGCAAGAAGAAGGAGCGAGAACACCGGGTACTGCTTCTGCGGGAAGCATCCTTTCAGCCGATGACACGGCTGCGGTAGCGGGACCCTTTGTGGGCTTCGTGACAAAACGAAGGAGAGTGAATGGGCCCGCAGCTAATTTGGCTCGAGGTGAGGAGGATGTTGGAGGTCCCCGTGCCTTCCCACGGCGGCTAACGTGTCCACCCGCGGGTAGTATGAATAGACCTGGGGACTTCATTATGTTGGTAAACTCGTGGCTTCTGGGGAAATGATGTTGTAGTAGTGAGACCTTGGTCCAAAGAGAAGGTTTGCTGGTGAAGTGGGCGTGGTGGTGAGCACAGCACCACCAGCCATGTCGCCCGATCAACGCATGAAAGCAGAACACTAATTCGGAACAGGAGCTAACGTACTTCACAACGTACCATGAATCCTCGGGCTAGTGCACTATCCACTAAGAATACGGTCAGGGTACCAATGCACAATCCATTAAGAATATTCCTACAACCTTCCAGTAAAGACCAAGGAACATTGTACATATTTCCGAAATGTATGACCGTTCAACAACTCTGCAGAACAACAGTCCTGACATTCAAAATGTCCAATCATATTGTTCTACGCTTCTTTCGATACTACATGCCGCTATCCCAACACGTTAACCCAGGACCGACACATGCGCGGGCTCTCTCTCGAGGTGTCCCGCACTGGGATCCCCAATAGCGTACCCCCACACACATATACTCTCCAGATCGGATATTATATCCAAGTACACCAAACAGCACCCGTACTTGATACAATGCCCGATCTGGACTTCCTTTGTGAATAATCACCACTTGAGAAACATCCTCTACAAAGCTGGCTACGCAGTAAAAAGCGTTTCCATCCGGTTATCCACGAATCCAATGTATTCGCCCCTGGATATGATCTCAAACCGTCTAGACAATATCTGCGCTTATCAGAAGAAAAGAGTCGGAACGGTGACGGACAAATCTTGAAAAACTGCTTTAAAAGAGTTGACACAACATCCTCTCAACAAAACTAAGTTTCAACTTCTTGACCAACCAAAACGAGCATTCGGAAAGTACGAAGACTATTCCTCGTCAAAACATGTCAACCCTTCCCTCCAACGTGTGTTCAAGGAACAAACCCTACAAATCGGTGCCTCAGCTGTTGTCCAAGAGACAATAGAGAACAGAAATAGTCAAGCAAACAGCGCCCCCTGCTGCAGCATTTCCCGAAAAAATAAATCTGTGCCTCCCTTCTCTCACTGGTTTGGTACAAGACAACATTGTCAATACCAATGTCAAGATACTAATACGTAACAGCCCCCCGGCTGGAACATTTCCCAGAAACAAACATGTAGATCTGCCTGCGCTTTCTTTCTCTCCTTCTCAATCAACAGGAGGTCTCAAAACATCAACGTGTACGAAACAGCCCCCCAGCTGAAACATGCCCTGCATACAAAAAGAAGAACATCAATGCATTCGCTGATGGTGCGTGTGGAATCATGACAACACATTTCCTCCCCCTGATTCTTGACGCTACACACAGCAGAACGAAGAAAACGCAGAGAACATCATAACAAAACAAATCCAACTTGAACAGAACTCCACGAAAAATGTACTCTGCTCGGCTGGTACGGCGGCTAGAAACATGGTACACAGATCCCCCCCCATGGTTCTTGACAGTACAAACACACAAAGTTCGGGTCCAAAATATATCAAGTCAACCCTGAAAAACTAAGAAAATACTAATAACAAAAACAAACACAAACAAGAATGCCGCATAATCAACGCATTGTCTCTCGGAGGCGATTCCTGGATGAATTATCGCCTTCTGCGCAACGGGAAGAGTGCGCTCGACAGGGAACAAAAAAGAAAGATGCAAAGAACAACAACGTGAACTTAACACGCCAATGCGTCCACACAAAACTCAAACAAACTCGTTAACATTTCATATGGCCTCCAATTTGGCGGAAATATAGTGAGGTCGTCGCTGCCACCGTTTCCTCCGCCTGCTCGGTCGACTCCAGGGTGCCCACAGGAGCCAAATATCCGTCTTCCGCTTCACTGCTTCTCCCCAAATCGCGCTGCACCCGCCCCGCGTTAGTGGCGCGTCCGTTTCCGGGGGCTCGTGGCAGGTGTGGCGCTGTGGGGGGCACGGGAGGGGTGGACCGGGGGGAAAACCGACAAGGGTAGATTCTCGCCCCGCTCGCACTCGCGCCCCTCTCGAAAACTGCAGATGCCGTCGTGTCCACCGCTGCTGCAGGTTTGGCCACCTCTGCCGCCGCCACGTGCCGGCGCATGAACCTTGGCTGCCCCCCCCGCCCAAGCATCTGAAGAGTCCCCACCGCTTCACGCCGCTGCTGTCGACTCTCCTGCTGCTTACGACAGGCTCCTCCAGGATCAACACTGCTGCTTCCGTCGTTCTTGCCGCTTCTTCCGACTGTTCTTCACACTCCACCGCCGCCGCCAGTACCGCCGCCGATCTACAAGACTCCAACCGTTGTAGATGGGGCAGCAGGACGGATCTCATCGGCATGGTGTACTGTTGATGATGACATTGGTGAGGCTGCTGGCTGCTGCTGCGACTACTGTTTGGGTTGTTGCGATCCCGCGGACAGCGAAACAACAACAACGCGGTACGGCCCGAGAATCTGCCGCGTTTCACCACCTCTACCGTACCCGGCCTCCATGAGATACAGCTCTTCGCGTTTCCGCGCTACTGCAGGTGCTACACGTGATGTCGTGGTGGGTCGCGGGGGAGAATGAGCGGCGGGGTGTGTAACTGCGCTGAGAGAAACTACGTTGGCGGGGGCTTTTACCGGCAAAGACGCCACAGACGAAGCGGTAGCAGCCCCCCCCCCCGTTCTCACCAACAGACACCGCACCACTCACCTGTCCACCCGCACCGCCGGTGGGGCCGGCTGCCAGCAGCTGCTGTTACCGCGGCTGCTGATGAAACCCACAAAATCTGCCAAACCCGCCGTGTGCCTGCTGCTGCTGGAACGGCTGCTGCACGGGAACACCTGTGCACGACTGCTGTAGATCATGCTGCTGCTGACGAGGAGAACCTCCACAGTCCCGAAACGTTCCACCGCCGAGGGCAGCGGAAGGGCGTTCGTTGGGCACCAGCTGCTTTCTGCTGATGCTGGTACGGGCAGTGCCCTCTAAGGACGTAGTTGTGGCAGCTGCTCTGCGGCAGACCTCTCGTCACCTGTTCGTGTCCGCCATACACATGGGGCTTCTTCCCCTCTCAAAACATTTTTCATGTGTTCGCGCACTCGCTTCATGCGTTCGGGCCCTTCCGCCGCTGTCTAATCTCCCGGACCCACCTCCGGTATCAAATCCCTTCGCTGCCTTCCTAGCGTGACCCCCAGCTGCTTTCCCAGCTTGAACCCCACCTGCCATACCAACATTCGCGCCGTGATCCTTTCCATCACAATGTTGAATTTAACAGTAAATCTTTCTCGCGGCCCTTTCCGCTGCTGCTGCCCTTTCCGAAGCTGCTGCCACCCTGTCCGCGGCATCTTGTGCATTCGACATCGGTCGCCTTTTAGAACGATTACCGTAATAGTCGGACAGATAGCACCACCGTGTAAGCGTTTCTGTATAGCTTACTTCTCCACAACCACGGGGATACCACTGCCGACAAGGGTAGTTTTGGAATTATCTCGTCGAGAGCTTTCCTGAGAGGTATCGGTTGGTGTCCACACCCCCTAGTTGTCGAGAAATACGCTACACAGAACCGCTAACACGGGGGTGCCATCTCTCTGGCTATTACGGTAATCGTGTTAGAGGACCCCGTGCCGTCCCATGGGGGCTACCGTGCCCACCCACGGTAGTATGAATAGATCTGGGGACTACGTTTACCCAGGACCGATGCCGATGATGTGAGCCTTGATTATCACACACTTGTGCTCCTTCTAGCACGTCAAACACATATAGTACAGTGAACATAGACTGAACACATGCACGGGCTCTCTCTCGAGGGGCCCCGCACTTGGACCTCCAATAGCATAACCCCCACACACATACAGTCTACTCTCCAGATTGGATCTTCAGTCTTGTATCCAAGTGCCCCAAACAGAGGTGTACTTCGCTTTGTTTGTATCTACGAAGGGCGAAAGGCGACTGTTTTATGTCCATGCGTCGGTCATGGTGTCGACCCGACTCGAATCGGTCCTGACGGCGCCGACCGGTGCTCTCGTGGTCTGGATGCCGCTGCATTGCATTGTGTGTTCCAACCTTTTCTCGGCTGAGGCAGCGGCTCGTTGCTCGATCACACACCCTTGTTGACATTGGCAAGACCCTCTCGTAAACCTTAGCCGCCACTGCTGTACGGCCTCTGTTTCGCTTGTTGCCTGGTGGCATCTCGAAATGAGCACATTTTCACTCGTCCATCACTTTTTCTTACAGTTTGACGGCCACCGTGCGAACCACGCGGCACTTTTTTCGCAACGTGCTTCTGTTTGTCGGAACTGCAGGCGAGACAGGAGCAGGAGAAGGAGTGGTTGAGCAGCAGCAGCAGCAGCGCAGCTTCTCCGAGATTAGAATTTAGCGCCTGCCTGCACTGCCTCGCGTTGCTACACCAGACGGCCGTGAACGTGAGCTTAGACTATAGCGCGAGGGTCCTAGCGGCTTCTTCGCGCACAGTATTGTTTTCGTTATTCTGCAAACACCCTTGTACTTATTCGGCAAGACTGGGGGTTCGGAGTGTGGTCTGCGTTGCATATTGTGGTTGTTCTGGTGGTGGGCTGTCGTAGTTACTGGACACCACCCCCCTGCCGTCGTCGTACGAGGGATCACGTGGCCTACAGTAGTAGTTTCATGCACACACTGAACGGGCACGATTGATTTCGAAACTTGGACTTGCTTTGGAGGTACTAGTGTAGACTGTTGGGACGATCGTCCGTTCGGCCTGACTCTGCGCAAGTGTTGCAGAGGGACTCGAAGGAGTGCATCCACCTTCCCTTTTTCTTATCATGTGTTTGATGTTTAAATATATTATAGCCGGTCGCCCCGGTGGTCTAGTTGGTAGCCTCGTAACCTTCTAGAGGTCAGGTCAGGGGTTCGAATCACGGCGTAGGCGAGCTTTTCTTGCAAAGTGAGTTCTTCTCTCGCTTCCGCTCCTGGCCAAGTGGATAGCGCTAGTTCGTGTGTACACAGAGGGAAGAGAGTGCTGAACTCTTCTCGCATTAAAAATTGAAGGCGAAGTACCGCAGGAGGGGAGGGTAGAGAGAGGCTCTTCTGTGTGACCACGGGTTGGAATAAACGGCACTAGAGCTGTGAGCGCTGATTTGAAGTGAAGAACAAAAAAAAAAAAAAAAAAAAAAAAAAAAAAAACAGAGTTCGTCCATCCCTGTAAAATGTTGCTCTTCGTAAGCGCGCCACTTACCGATGAGGGAGCCTCGCTTGTCTTTTCCCCCTCTGCTGCTGTACTTCTGCTGCAACGGCGAAGCGTGCCGCAGGCTTCTTGTGGGCTGTTCTTGTTTTGCTAGCGAACCAGAAGTGGGGCGTATAGACTATAGAACCGCGTCATATTGTACGTGGGGAAAGTCGTGTTGCGCATGTGTTGTGTGGGTCTTCCGCTCTGCACGTGGCGGGCTCGCGTCGATCTCGAACAGGGTAGGTATTCCGATGGGAGACTGTGTTTTTGGACAGAGTTCATCAGACCCCCTTCGGCCGTAGTTTAACACTCTCGATCCTCCACAGGAGAGAAGCAATGTCGGCGCGAGAGTAGCATTGCCAAGATCTCATCGTGACATTTCCGAATACGTCTCATTCACCTTGGGGCGTCCTGCTGGTAGTGGAACAACCGAGTGTTGAAGACTGGCGCGGCCAACACGCGCCTTGCAACAACCCGAACGGCTGAACCTCGTGTTGGCCGTAACCCTATTTGCTGAAATGGGCACCGATCCGCCGGTTGCTTTCGGCAAGACAACGGAGCAGAACACAACGCTACATCGCCGACAATGCGTCGTCTTGAGAGAATCGAACCAGGCACACTCTTTTCTTGCTACACACAGCAGTATGGAGGTGAGATGGTTACCCCTCGAAATGTTTCTGGTGTTTCGTCCCTACAGTACGCACGCTCGCTCAACCTCGAGCATGCATGAAACGATCCGAGCTGCCTGATTGTGTTTCAACGTCACGCACGAGGGTATCGAATGCGCCCCGTTGCAATTGATGCCACCTAGCCGAACCTTGAAGTTATCCTTGCCTGCCTCTTTGTATTATTCACCACCTCATTCACCACCACCCACACCCTTACACGACCTACATCAAACCATACAACCAAATGTAGGGGAGCAACACTCACGCATCGGGGACGCGACCCTGCAGCCTCCAACTCACCCACTCCCAAACGGCCAGAGGCCCCACAGAACAGACACATTGTATAGATCGAGTACAGTACACCGCCCCCCCCTTGTAAGTGGAGATATGATCTACTTGTGTGATCCGTTGAACAACTCTCCAAAAACTACAGGAGAAACGGCAGCGACAATCTTCCAAATAGTCCTGCTTCAACACGGGTCAAATGACCCCCGTTTAAGCTACCTTGAACATCCAATACTTCAGACAGTGCACCCTCTACAGAAGGGTATCCTCGTCGTAATTCATTGTTCTATACAGCCCACAACAATGAATGGCACGTCTACGTTTATCGGCAAGTTATGTGCGGACTTCTAGAGTCGCTGAAACATCACACATCCTTAGATACAACCAAAAATACCGTGCCATCGTTCGAATCAACGGGAAAATGTTCCTCAGAAAACCACGCAACTACAAACTCGACATATTTCTGATTTCGCACGCGCCAAACTCACACAACGCATTCCAATGATAATATTGACTGACCAATTCTCGCGATATTTCAGAAATACGGAGGCCTGCAACCATGGCTTATCAGAATATGTCGATTTTCGTTCCTGGGAAACAACATAAATCTATAGAACTTCATGCCTTTTCGATAAAATACTGCTTCAAACATTGTCCTATTATAGCCGCTCAACACATCGCAATGTGCGTGACCAACAGAAACAAAATACATGACGACGTTCCGATGTGCCACGAACGCATTCTCGTTGAGCGTCTTGGTGAGAAAGTTCGCGTGCTGTTCTGCCGACGGTACACAAACTACAATGGATCCGTTCCCGATTGAGTGATAACGCACGTCGATGTGCTTCGGATTCGGGTTCGTTGTCCTCCATAACCGTGGTGCATCCCACGTCACGGCCCGGCAAGATAAACAACTCCAGAAATTCCGCAGAAAAGCACCTCCTTGAATCCATCAGCCATTGCGACGTACTCTGCCCGGCCGAGGACAGCGCGATACTCTTCCGCCTCCAAGAGAAAACCATACCCTAGCACCGGCGCACATTTTTCAACCCCACCGGAATAACAGACCTACATCCGGTCCGTGCTCTTGCTTGGGTAGTCCGAATCCATGTACAACTCCAGATCGATACCACTGCCCTTGCCCCTCTGTAAGACATCCCATATTTAGCTAGAGTACACTAAACATTTGTACCTGGCGATGTGCAACGCCGCGTGCTGTTGTACAAGCTTCGGCGGCGCGTGAGAGTACCTCGCTACCGCCCTCGCCGCGTTCAGAATGTCCGGGTGGCAAGCCAACACACAAACACTCGACCAACGACCGAAACGGAGCATCCACGTCTGGGAAGTTCTCGGCGTACTCCTCCAGCTTCGAACCCGCCGGCGAAGGGGGTCTCCAGACTACTCCGAAGTACGAGTTACCCCAAACTTCGCTACACCGCATCCTCGGCAAAATCCTATGAGAGATCGTAATCGTTCCCGCATCCAGTCACGAGAAAACCCGCAACCCGTCAAATACCGCAACTCCCTCAGGTTGAATTTTTATCCCTCACAAACGGAACTTGTGTCCAGATTTATACGTTACACGCCGTGCGGCGATAGATGATAGGCGACAATTGTTGTGGACGCTTTGCGGAAGCCTGGTTGTATGTCGCATGCTTCCAATCGCAAACAATTTGAACGGTCTCTGCCATGAGTCAACATGGCGCGTTTAAACCGGGCAGGGTGTGGGCGAGGTAGCTCCGGCAACTTTCGCGCAGAAGCAGGTTGCTGCTGGCTTGGATTCGGCTGTGGACGACGCTTCATCGTAGCGCCTCTTGGCCTCGACAGCCTGTTCGCGCGAAACAACGGGGATTTGTCGAAAATATATGAGAACAGCAATACCATCATGCATAAAATCTCCCGTAAGCCAATCCCGTACGTCAACCTCAATGCACAGCACCATCACGTCGAGAGGGAGGAGGCATGCTTTCTATTCTCACTATTGAAGAAGTAGATCCAAATCAGGACAAGGAGCACCCACCTCCGGATCGCCCGCCTTGTCGAGACACTGAGATAGTCCGAGGAGTCCCCACATGTTGCTCGGGTACATCTTAAGGTCCGCCCTGGCGTGGCAACATCGTTGTCCAGGATTTGGGGTGGGCAGTAAGAGTTTCAACGAGTCGGCTGTAAAAAGATGCAAACAAGCCTTCATAATATATCCCTCACATGCAGTACACACGAAGATGGAGAAAAAATCTGGCACTGCCGTTAGAACTTCCTGATGGAGCGGGTTCAGAGTGTCCGGGTAACCCCGTAAAACCACGCACTCGGCGGTGTGGCACCATCAATTTACTCTCTTCGCATCATGTGTCCTCGCGTGTTGTCTACAGCAATCGCTCTGTTGAGGTGTCCACCCGAAGCACAGAGGTGCGCATGGGCTGCTTCGCGAAAACAATGGCAGCCAACCAATCATGTTTGTGCCGAGCGAAAGCGACTATAATACGATGGCCCTCTTCATCACCTGAACACTTCTGTTGCCTCCTGGATGTGGTCCTGTTCAAGGAGGAGAGCACCGAGGGCGTGCCGGCTGGGGACCATCCAACCCCATGGCTCATCGTACAACAAGCTTGTGTCCAACCTTCAGCGCGGGGCGACAAGAAAAGCATGGGTTTAGGGAAAGACTGCTCGGCTCGGTCTTGGCGGAAAAGCTGTTTGATTTGGAACCGAAGAATGAATCGCCGTCTGAAGCGATACGCTTGGGTCGTGGAGGTGCGTAGGGGGGGGGGGGGGGTGTACCCATAGTCGTGCATGCCGTAGTCGTTAGACCATTGACCTCGCATCCCCACAAAGCCAGGACGGAGCACGCCGGGTTCTCACCGGACCAGGCTCTCACATCACCTTCATAAGTCGCGAGGGAAGGGATTGCTGTACCCTTCTCGCGATAAAAATATCTCAAGCAGGAACCGCAGGAGGGGGTCCAACCCCCCCCTCCTATGTGACCCCTGTTGGGTCGTCTAGCTAGAAGAAGTGGAGGATAGGGGCCAGAGGGGCAGACGACAGAATCCAATGATGGGAGAAAAAAAACAAATCACCAAGCGCGAAGCACCGTGAGGTATTCGGCGAGTCGCATGAAGAGTGCGTGCATCCTGCTAAGGGTGTTTGGCATCTTGTGCTTTCTTCCTTGCGTACGGATGACAGCTGCGTATGACTTAATTTATTTTCTGGTGCTTTCACTTCCAGAGACAGTTATAAGCACTGTGTAACTGCCTCCAGGATGCTTGACCACTTTTAACACAACGTGGTGCGATTATCCCCCTTGCGCGGAGTGAGGGTTCTTTACCCCGCACAACATGATCTACTCGACCACCATTCATGGTTACCGCAAAAAAAAAAACAGAGGGAAAAAAAAGCGGCAACCTGTTTGCCGAGCTCCCAAAGTAAATTGGCTTGTTTTACAACGTCGTTGTCAAGCGACGAAAACCCAATTCCGATGGCAAACACCGGGGGGGGCGGCTTGTTTTACAACGTCGTTGCCAAGCGACGAAAACCCAACCCCGATGGCAAACACCGGGGGGGGCGGCTTGTTTTACAACGTCGTTGCCAAGCGACGAAAACCCAACCCCGATGGCAAACACCGGGGGAGGGGGAGTTCGTAGGGGTGGGCTTAAAAATGGTGGAGGCGGGAGTCGAGAATGGGTTGTTTTACTCGCACCATGAAACGGACGCTCGTGGACACAGACAAGGGGGGCGGTGGGAAGGAAAACGGAGGCTGAAGAGTCTGAGCGCGTGCCAAGCGATCACGCAAGTGCAATGTTATCGGAAAGGGCGTATGCTGATCCGGAAAAATTTACTACACGGACGACCTCAAGGTTGTTTCCATCGGTCCTGTCACGCTGCGAAGCATGGAGCGTACCTGACTGCCTCACGGAGGTGCTCAAACGCCGTTTCGAAGTTCCCCTTGCGGTACTCGATCTCCCCCGCGAGCATGGCCTCTCCGACCTTGAAAAGGCAGGGCGCCTCATCAGACACGATCAAATCTGCGTAGATGTGTGTTTTTAGCGTTGCCGGGAAGGTGGGTCTCGTAAGCAGACTTGAGGCATATAATGGAGATTGGGTGAGTCGTAGCCAGCTCTTTCGGCTGTTTGACGACATCTCTGGAACATTCACACATTCGTCAGCTCCAGCTTAAGCTCTCTGCTACAACAACCCCATTCGCTGGCTGTGGTGGTGCTGCATGCTGGCCGGCGGTAGTTGCCCGTCTCACACTCGGTGCATCGGCATGAAGTTCCTATCGCACGCTGTAGCCTGCGCTACTCTACGCAACTTGATGCTAGCTGTGGTGACTATCTTCGAAGGAGAACACGCAGCCACGGGTCTCCCTATGATCGCATACCCACGCCCTCTCTGACATTTGTTCGAAGTTCGCGCTGGTGTTTACGTGTCGCCGAGCGTGGTGGGGGTCACTCACTGTTGTGAATCATGCGTCCGCCGAGCGCAGGGTTCTTCATGCCTTCGAGGTACTTCGCCTGACGCACGGTTAGACGCCAAGAAGGGGGTGACAACATTCTCGGGAAATCAAAGAAAAAAAAAAAGTCTTGGTTTGTTCCTTCTCAGCAGCACGATAGCTCTCAAGTCTTATCATCTATGGTCCGGTCCAACAAACCATCTTGATTTGCTCGTCCGTCCTCAGCAGGAAAACTCTCATATTCGGTCCGGTCCTGGAGGGGGGAAAAAACAGTGATGTACAGTACCCTTTACCGGTATTTAAAAGTTAAAGGGTAGGCGGGGTCGGTAAAGCCAAAATTTTGCGGTAAACCTCACCGCGCCCCCCCCCCCCATCCCACTTGCGGGACCCCCTCAGCCCTTGTCCTGTCAAAGGCGCAGCTGCTGCAGCTCTCCACACAGTGTCCCTTCCGAGCTGTAGCAGACCACCTACACTCTGACACACGAAACTGAAAGACCACCATGGCTTCTTGGAGCGCGCTTTCGTGAACACCCGTGGTGGAGGAAGCTGCTGATGGTCTCGTTGACGGATTCTCTGGCTCGTAGATAAATACTTTTTCTCTTTTTCTATCCTGTAATTCTTCGGGGAGGAGATGAGGAGGCCATGTACGGGAACGTGATAAACTTTGAAGAAAACTCAGCCTTCATCTTGAATTTTGATTTTTTCCTTTTCTTCTATTGATAGATTGATAGTGCTGTCAAGATGTGGATCTGTAGACGAGGGTTGAGTCGCACCAGCAGCCCTCCATGCATCCTGCTCATCACCCGCCCACGCACCAACTAACATACATGTCTAACACACAACGCCCTGTTGCCATGCATGATTGAAAGGAAAAAAAGCTGTACTGTAGCATTACGTTAACACCGAGAATTTTTCAGTATACTGCTTGCTGTTTACTTAGGCCACATTGTTCTCTATGTCGAATTCCCGAAGAAGGTGCCAGAACGCCAACAATGCGGGGTCACAGCGTCAAAGCATCAAAGTAACAGTGTTTTGGGGTGGTGTAACAGCGCTCCGAGCAGCACACAGCACCATGAACAAACCAACCTGGAAACCCCGGGGACAGTCGATTTTCATCCCCGCTTTTGGCGAAAATTACCGGTCGGTAAAGCCGATTGCTGGTTTCGGTGTGTTACCGGTCGGTAAAGGGGTCTGACCCGGGTAATGCACATCACTGGACAAAACTGATATTCTGTGTCGCGATGAAAAACTGATACACTCTGCAAGATCGGATAGGTAAACCACACCTGCTCTTTTTCGGCCTCAGCCACCAGTCCCTTTGAGGCAAACGCGATACCACGGGCGTAGTGGGCAGTTGTCAAGCTTGTAGGGTACAGGGCTGGGTCCTCGTCTCGCGGCTCAGCGATGATCTCGTCCCACAGCCCGAACCTTGCACAAACCAGACGGACAGACCAAACAAAAGTCTTGAGACGAACGGGAGCGGATGCTCCTTCGTGTTTTTTTGTTCAATCTGAGACCATACCAGTCTGCAGGGACCCGATCGCATCTCATACGGTGGCTCAGACCTCTACCTCGCGCAGTCACGAACATTCGGTGCACAACGACATCAAGGACTGATGCGTTGGAACCACACCTCTTGCACACGTCTTTCCGTAGTCAAATCGCGCAAATGTTAAACCATCGCCGGTCTACTGCCAGACTTGTCACCAGACACCCGACACAACGCAACATCGACACGTTCGTGATAAGTCAGGCTTCAATCAATCTTACTCAGCAGATCAAGCACGGGTTTCATGATACTAGTGTTCAGTCCACGACCTAACCTGATCATGGCATGCCACTTGACGAGGGTGTAAGGCTCCCAGAAAATGGCCATCGGGATGAGACCTTGGAGCATGAACTGGATTCCACTGCCGGACGACAACGAAAACAAGCACGCGCACGGGGACGGGTATCCCGAAAACCGGTGATAGCACCATTTAAACGTTACCTGGTCTACGTGAAATGCACTCCACATTAAATGGGTACTCCTCTCATTCCCGAGAGAAGCAACTGCCAAACCCTCCCTGAAGTTTCCTGGCTATAGCTCGGCTAAATACTGACGGGCCGCGGAACAACCCGGTCGCCGCCATAGAGATACACCATGGTTCGAGGCTGAGGGCTGCTGGGAGTCGCGGAAACACGTATGGGTCCCCACTTGCCTGTTCTCATCTCCTGGCGAAAGCATGGCCGATAGCTTCCTTGCCATTTCCATGGCGACGTCTTGCTGGCCTGTGAACATGGCCTGCTCGGACAACAAAACCTCCGGGTGAACCGATTACATCAACGAAAAACGTGCCGAGCTACAGCAGTACGTTTTGTTTTCGTCATCCCATTTATTCTGGACGTCGGTCCTTACACGTTTCGGTACAACCAGCCGGGGTCACATAAAGGAGGAAGGCCACACAGGAACTACTCCTTTGCCCTCCTGCTGCGGTGCTTGCCTTGATATCTTATCCCGAACTCATGACTTTCCTCTACATTGTTTGGGCATATTGTGAGAATAGATCCCCCTTTTGTGTGACTGCGTAGCTGCACCGACATTCGAACCAAACCCACGTCCCAAACGTCATAAATTCGCTAAACCACTCAGCCACCGGTGTGTGAGTGATGCACTGCACACAATCGGCATCTACGACCCCTGCCCGCCGTTGCGGACGGCATACATACACTATGCAAAATATCTTTCGCATGTTTCATGTGCTCTGCTATTTAGCGACGCCTTCTATCTCGGCGAACACAAGCGCATCTCACTCACCGCCCAAACGGCCATATGGACGTTGTGGATGCGGTAGCCCTTGTAAAAGCTGGTCTCGACGCTGCCGCCATGTTTTAGCAAGTTCATTTGATCAACAACACACGAGGGGCAAGAGAAGAGTTAGTGTCCAATTTTGTCAACCATTCATCGCCTTCTACAAAGCAGACACCATCCTGGGCCCAGAAACCCTCTGCGGAAATATTGAACTGAACCCTTCGCTGCCTCTCTCGACACATCATGTTGCAACACTTGGCTCCATCCCTGCTCGAATCAAGTGTGACTCTACCCAAAGCTTTTCTGTCCAGCGTCTCACCCTGTGTGTTCCACTGTGGCCTCGTCGGCGGCGATGGCGGTAAAGTTGGTATCCAACGCGGCCTGCGCCTCATCAAAAAACAAAATATCCCGGGATCAGAGATAGTGGACACATTGATCCACGACGTTACCCGAAAGCGTTTCCTCCAAAAACAGTCTCGTCGAAGGTTTTAGCCGACGCAGGATGGGAAGTCTGAGGATCAATACGATAGATGTAAGAAAACTGTAACTTGTTGAGTGGCACACTGTTGGGTGTTATCTACCGGCTGGAGTGAAGGACGAACACCATTCAAACATATGGAAACATGGCACCATTCACTGACGAAACGGAACCCGTGCAAAATACGTGTAGGCAGCGGCTGATCCTTCTGTTCTTCCCACCTTGTAGTGTCCGGCCCAGATGTCGATATGAGAGGCCATGTGGGTGAGGTGGCCTGCGTGCCGAAAGTTGTTCCGGAGGGTATCCGCAGCCGGCATCGCCGCAATCGGATCGTCGGAGAGCTCCATGAGATGGCAGTAAAGGTGCAGGATGCCGGGATGTTCCATGCCCCCCGGCAATTCCATTGCCTAACCACAGCAACACGGGTTTTGAGAGGCGAAGGACCCAGAATAACGAGTTGAGGTCGTGGAAGAGCAGAAAAATTATCGAGAAACACCACCAAAATGTTTTTTCCCGCGGTGGCAATCACGAACTTGCCCCGCATGCAGCTTACCCGCTCGAGAACGTCCTTCACAATCAGAGTGCTTCCATTCACGGGCACAATCTCGGCCTCGCCGGTGGCTTCAACATCCTTCCTGACCCACATCGCCCACGGGTTGAGGGCCATCAGAGACTCGCTGTACAACGCAGCCACGTCCAGGTCGTCGGCATACTTGTCGTACAACCTCGCCATCGCATCTGCACAGTAGTTGCCGCGCAGAAAGAGGCTCGTGTAACGGACACATCTGATGCAAGAACTAAAACGCGCCCTGGGCGTTTGTGGTGTTCCTGGCGCTGCAGCAAACAGCACAACCTCTGCACCTGGTCGACTCGACACTTTTCTCCGTCACGTGTTCTCACCTGAAAAGCTGAGATTCAGTTCCGGGGTATTGCCTGAAGACGACAGGCCGGGAAAGCCAAGGAAAATCACGGAGGAGAAATAGAATTGTGGGTCAGAAATCGAGCAGCTCTGTTCGGAGAAGCGGAGCTAGCATCTGAAATATAAGTGCAATACCCAGGCTTATCGACGCGTAACACCGCAAAACTACGCCCCCCTTCAATGTATTGTCGAATGCGCTACGTGGTGTCCTACTAGTCCAGCATCGAACATCATTCACCAAAGGACCGGAGCTCCAAATCCGGCATCAAAACGCCGTGAGCGCTGATTAAAAAGGTCAGAGAAAAAAACTAAACAAAAAACATCGAACAAGAATCACCAAAATTCATTTTCGTGGGGTCCGCGGCGGCTTTGGTTTCGGCGGATGAGCGAGTCGCCAAGGCTTCAATGAGGTCCCTTTCCAGTCCGGAGTATTCGCAGTCGAGGTCCTTGCCGGTGGTGATCATCACCAGGGCGGTCTGGATGGAATCGAAGCCGCTAGCGAAGCCGGGTGGAAAGTTGTAGTTGCTGCTGACAGCGTAGGCTGCGTGTAGTGTAAAGAACGTAACGAGCACAGAACCGTCCCAAAATCTTACTTAGTACAAGTGAGCCGTCCAGAGTGGGCTCAAGAAAGAACAGTGTCATCGAGGGGTGACGCAAGATGGAACGAAAAAACGCACAGCTGGACCAGCCCACAGCTGCGTTGCCGGTGGTGACGTTCCCCACGCTCGAAAAGCTCTTACAGCTGACGGGTTTTTTTACTCGAAGAGCCCAGCGAGAACCCCAACGAACTTAAAGGAACAGTTTCAAATATATTTTCGCTCTTACATATACAGCAGGTGGCCCGGTATAATGCCGGTGGTTGACAGCCGATATCACCGGCATTATAGCGGGAGACCGGCATTATATAGAATCGGCCTCTACAATGCCGGTTCCGGCATTACTGAGGGTCTGAGGATTCCGCTAACCGCCGGCACCGGCACTATTTAGGAAACCATCCAGTTATTTAATACAGAACGTGTAGCACACACCACAAGCATCAGGTGATGGGGAATAATGACAGTGGATGCCGTGACAGGAGGTTTGGTAAGCATCCCGCGATCGACCAGATTTCAGAAGAGGCGCGTACATCGAAGGACCGCCGTATGGTAGCTCATCCCTCCATGCATCTTTGTTTCTACCCCTTGACATTGTTTTTTCGCAGAGCTGCTCAGCAGTGTCTGTGCACGAACTCTTCCTTGACGTATAATATTAACCTCTGGTGCGTCCCCGTCACTCACTCGAAAAAATTGACATTAATCATACCGTACACTAATGTCGAGAAAAAAATAAAGCAACAAACAGTACGAAAATTAACATCTGAACACACCCATTTACTACGTGCCGCACAACCGACGAATACCCGCTTACACAGAACAAGGGGAAAAAAACAACAAGAGAAAAATCCAGAAAATGGTGGTCAGGCTGCTGGTGTTTAGCTAACAACGACAACCAACGGTACAACACACACACCTACCAACAGGTTCCACCGAACAAACAACCAAACTACTTATTATGATGCTGAATCGACTCCAAAACTAGCATGCATGCATCATATCTTGTCGAAGTAGCCCCTCATGATGCGGTAGGGTACAGCTGGTAGGGGAATGTATGGCCTCGAAGTGTGCGTGTATGGTGGTATGTTGTGTGTGCAGTGGGGAATATGGCCTCGAAGTGTGCGTGTATGGTGGTGTGTTGTGTGTGCAGTCGTGTGTGTGCAAGCTATCTTGAGAACCGGCATTTTTCACTGGCCAACAACCCCCCGAACCGGCATTATAGAGGGTCGGCCTCTATTATTAGAGGGTCGGCCTCTATTATGCCGGTACCGGCATTCTACCGGCTTGAAGTTGTGCCAGCCGATTTCACCGGCATTACAGCAGGCAACCGGCATTATTCGACCGCCATTATATCGGGCCACCTACTGTACCATGGTATAAGGTTTGGTCTGTTTTTGCGCTTCGGTATTTATTTCTCTGGCGGCAGCGAATCGTTTCTCGCGCTTCCTTCTCGGGGGCGCCCAGGAGGCACATTGGTTCGTTACCACACATGCCTGCACGTCGACAGGCGTCCATGGCGCGTGTGCTCGACGCCCTAAGTCGCAAAAACTGGGTCTATTTCGCGGGGACGCTTTCCGCGGCGACAAAAAGCCTGGTGAACCAATACTGAAAACCATCACAACGACAGAAAGGAAAAACGGCACAGGCATGCTCATTTCCAACAGATCTCCCGCTGTTATCGACAACTATCCTCTGACATGTTCGTCGAGTGAATGCTGTGTGCCGCGAGTGCGCACTACCCGACGGTGGGCAACTTCGTTTTTCCGCGAGCGCGATTTCATATTTCGTCGCAAATTGTTTTGTGTGGGTGTTTTCTCAAATGGCATCCACCGCGCTAACTGGTTGGCTGATGTGCGTGCGTGTACGATGCGTAAATATTTATTCAGGCACCACAAACCGGAGCTATCGCACAGGGTTGTACCCCAAAAAATCCCAAGCATCGCCTTCAGGGTTTTACTTAGGATCGCACCACAATACATACCGGAGTCATCGCAAAGGTGTGTGTGTGTGTGTTGAACGTCGAAAATCGAAAGGTTATTTCAATCTCCACACGGGGTCCGGAGTGTTCGCGCAGGGATGCGATGACCCGCAACCTACGTAGATAGTTGGGTGCCGACAATTCCGGTGCAACTTGTACCCCCATAACCATACCGGTGCTGCAATGTTGCTGAAGCTTACAAATATAATGTCGCATCGTCGCAAACCACACACATATGGAGATACGAAGGAGATGAAAAACAATGGTACTTCCATTGATACTTGTTTTCTTCCATAAATTTCAAGCGTTTGCTCGGTAACGGTTTTAAGGCGGACAGGTTTTCGGTGGTAATGCCATTTGGCGGTAATTGTTTTGATGGTAGGCGGTAGTGCGTTTTTCGGCGGTAACGACTTTGGCGGCGGCGGTAAAACCAAAAAACGGCGTTAAAACGGTGAATTTTCGGCGGTAACGCCATACGGCGGTAATTGTTTTGGCGGTAGGCGGTCACGCGTTTTTCGGCGGTAACCACTGTGGCGGAGGCGATTGCCATGTACATGTGGCCACAACTTCAAGCGGCACCAAACAAGGCCACAAGTGCGGTGCCGAGTTACGGCGTCCGAACAGATGGCAAACCTCCATTCCGACGATCGACCATGTACTTTCATGGATTGTTTTGTCGTATTCACCAGTGGTTTTCACATTTTAGAGTCACTACGGCGTCAAAAAATAAAACACGAAACGGGAAAATGGAAAAACGAACCCGAACCAAACTTCAACCAAAGAACAGATGAAATTTTTTTTGAAAAATGAAAAATATAGTCGGAAAAAAAACAAGCAAGCCTACGTACGTGCGGATTCGAACTCATGCGCTCAGTGACACGTACTGCGGCCGATGCTAGACATGTAGTCACTCGGACGGTCGAGGGGTGGTCACGTACCTATATGACGGTAATTTTTGGGCGGTAATGCCGTATGGCGGTATTTTTTCGGCGGTAACGCCATACGGCGATAATTGTTTCGGCGGTAGGCGGTAACGCATTTTTTGGCGGTAACGACTTTGGCGGAGGCGGTAAAACCAAAAAACGGCGGTAAAATTTCGGCGGTAACGCCATACGGTGGTAATTGTTTTGGCGGAAGGCGGTAACGCGTTTTTCGGCGGTAACGACTTTGGCGGAGACGGTAGAACCAAAAAACGGCGGTAAAACGGTGAATTACCGGGACCGCCCACCACGGCGGTAATTTCACGGCGGTAATATTACGGAATGTAAACCCTTGATAAATTTCATGTCCACTCGACCAGAAAATTGTAGCCACCAGCCAAGACAACAAGTGAATGCTGTGTGTCGCGCACACATGCGCACAACTGGACGGGCGGGAACCGTAGTTTGGCCACGGGCGGGGTTTCACATGTCGCCGTGCTTTATTTCGCCGCAAATTGGTTGGCGTATGTTTTCTCGAATAGCACCCGCCGCGCTAACCGGTTGACGTATTTCGAGTACAGCACACCCCGGAGTTATCACACAGGGTTGTGTCTTCAAGCTCCAAGCATCGCCTTCAGGGTTTTACATGGAATCGCACATACATGATGATACCGGAGTCATCGCACGACGGGGGGGGTGAACAAAAGTCGAAACCTCAAGATTTAATTCGATTCCCGCACAGAGTCCCGAGTCGTCCCACAGGGAGGGGTGTCATGAGTCTCAACCTAGGGTAGATGAGTGCCAAGTATTCCGGCGCAACTTTTACCCCTGTAACCGTGCCGGTGCCGGCTGTTGCTTAGCATGCTCTACAAAATAAATGGCATCGTCGCAAACCACACGTATGTATCTGGAGGTACAATGGAGATGATGCACACGTATTTCCATTGACATTTTTGTTGAATATACAATCTTCGTCCACTCGACCAAAAACACGACAAAGGATAGAGGCCACAAGCCAAGACAACTAACTACCCTCTGACTGCTTGGCAGTGAATGCTGGGTGTCGGGTGTGCGCACAACTCGACGGGCGGGAACCGTTAGTTTTTTCGAGGGCGGGGTTTGATGTTTCCGAGGGCGGGGGGTGATCTATTTCGCCGTGTATATTTCGCCGCAAATCGGTTTCAGTATTTCCGCACGGGGTCCGGAGTCATCGCAGAGTCCGGGGTCATCGCACCCCTGTGTGTTTCAAAACGACCGCACGCGAGTGCGATGCCTCGCAGTCTTACGGTAACCTGCTGTACCTCTTGCAGCGCCGTGCGGAGTAATAGTGTGAGAGATGTGCAGGAGGAAGGAATTCCCAGGCGCTCCAGTGGCGCGAATATATTTGTACCCTGTCCACAGCGTTGCGCGAGTACCTATGATGTGTGCTGGAGTTCGAGGGCTTCCAGCAGGGTAAAACACTCACCGATACCCCAGAAGGCCATGGCACACCTGGGGTCAACCTCAGTGCATGTCTTGAAGCACTCTGCGGCCTCCTCGTGGTTGTAGTTGAGCATGTGCATCCAGCCGCGAGCGAACCAGGCGCGGCCTGCGTCCGTCGAAACAGTGATGATTTGGGGGAAACGCAGGTTGCCCTCGCCCATGTCGAGGCCGTTAGGGTAGTGTTTCTTGCCGCCAGTTGCTGAAGCAAGCTCCGACATCCTCCTCCTTGGTTTGAAATTGCTGTAGGATAGAGCTGGTTAAGTAGAGCAACAAGCGGGAATGTGGGAGTGAGCTTGGAGTGCGGGAGTACACCACAGACATGCGGCGGGATATCTACAAGTTTTTTTTTTTCGCTTTTGGGTCATCTCGCGGGACTGTCAAAAAATGGCATGAAGCATGAAGGCATTGAGGCATGCATGCAGCCTTGCGTGCCACAGCAGCACCCGAACCCGAGGCCAACAGAGCTCTCGCATAGCAATCGCCGGTGCAGGTGCTCCCACTTCCTAGCTGACATGTCTGCTGCTGGAAGTGCTCCTGAGAGAGTGCCCAGCAGCCAGAAATATCTAAACAAAAATGGAACGGCAAGGCTAACACCCCACCGGTGGGGTAATTTCGTAATTTCTTAACCACCCCACCGGTCGGGCGGTTAACGCTTAAACACACCACCACCTGTAGCTTGCTCTCCAAGACTCCAATCAGCGCAGGACTTCATCGAATGTGTTGCGGCGTTGCAGGGGTATCATTGGACCCATCGTGAGGCCGAAACAGCACAGCTTTGGTGGTACCACAGTTGATGGTGGGGAACATGCGCCGCTACCCCACTGGTAGGATAGATAACGTTATGGACCCCACCAGCTGGATCATGAGCCGAAAATGAAAGCACGCTTTGGTCGACGGTGGTAGGATATGGTACGATACAGCAGTCGTGGCTCCGACATAGAAGAGGAGGGTGGCGTGACAAAGGCGTTGACCTTCTTTTATCTCGGAGTCTTATACCGGATTGGGTACCCAACTACTCTAGACTAAAGGGGGGTCGAATCCGTGACAACGGATTTCGACCCTGTTGTATCGGAGCCCCCTCTTTTTATATATATGTAGCGTACCCTCTTGTATCGGGGCCACGACTGCTGCTGTACGCATAACATGTAATATAGTAACATGTACGAAGTACATCATAGTATGCTGTAGATCCTCAAGGGTACACCGGCGCCCCGCGGCGGGTTGGCTAGGAGCTGGGAGACATTCACCAAGCCACCCAAATGTTTGGATATTAGCGTCCCGTGAACATCCACGGCTATTTTTTCTTATCCTGCGCCCCCCCCGCGACATTCCTATATGTATGGAAGGTGCTGCTGCGCGGTCACTCTATATTGTAGTGCCAACTTGACAGTACAATACTGTACTTCTCACCCAAAGTCGACTTGCCAAAAACGTATAAGTTTTTATTTTCTCGAGCGGAGTGGCAACAATTTCCGGTAAATACCAGCGTATGTTGGTATGGAAATGGACCCAGACATACCGGTTTTGCACGCACGGCCACTTGTGGTCGGGAGGGGAGAACTGACGGGGCACAGCGATGGCCTTAACGCATATTTTGGGGCACACCATGCAGAGGCCTCAGTGGGTATGCCGTACAGAGGCTTCTTAACCGTAGAATACCAGCAACGCACGACGGGAACGGTCCTCAAACGTTTACAATCTCTGGTTCAATGATGACAGCTAAAACGCCCTGTCTGGCTGTAGTTGTAATGTTGTTGTTGTTGTCTTCACATCAAAAAGCGTTCCGATCTCTCCACCCGGTACTACCTCGTCTGTCCGTCCTGATGAATCACTTGACCGGTCGATTCCCCCCGTGGTCAGGCTAACTTACCCAAAAACAGGCCAACTTACTCAAATACAATGAACCCGAAGGGTCCGCAAGCCAATTGAAATCAACGACAGCATATTCTGGAGCCCCGCGCTTCCCTCTGCACGCTTTATGGGGTATAAAGAAATGGACCTGGAAGTCAACATCACGAGAGGTAGATACAGATCTTAGTACGTCACAGAGAAAGAGAGAAGGC